CAGCTGGTGCGGGAGCTGCAGCAGGTGTTCTTGCAGCACGACTGGGGGACGGGCGCGCTCGACGAGGCGTACCGCAAGTTCGAGGAGGGCCGGGCGGAGGAGGACGCGGAGGGGTACGTGCCGCCGACGGCGCGCCTGGAAGCCGCGGTGTACCGGCAGTACTGGAACGGTTTGCGGGTGCGTGTCGGGGTGCACACCGGGCTGTGCGACATCCGGCGCGACGAGGTGACGAAGGGGTACGACTACTACGGCGAAGCGCCGAACATGGCGGCGCGCACGGAGAGCGTGGGGAATGGCGGGCAGGTGCTGCTGACGCGTGCGGCGTACATGGCGCTGAGCACGGCCGAGCGGGAGCAGTTGGAGGTGACAGCGCTGGGCGCGGTGGCGCTGCGCGGGGTGCCGAGGCCGGTGGAGATGCACCAACTGGACGCCGTGCCGGGTCGCACCTTCGCCGCGCTGCGGCTTGACCGTTTGATGCCGGAACTTGACGACGTTGAGGGCGAGGATACGTCAAGCGGCGGAGAGGCCTCCGCGTCCACCGCCAGGAGCGGCGTCTCGCACACCGTCGTGACTGTCTTGGCTGTGCTGCTCGGCACCTTCGCGGCCCCGCAGCGGCTGCGGGTGCTGCGGCCCCTCTGCGAGCGGTGGAGGGTCAGCGTGCCGCACGCGGTTGAGGCGACGCGCGAGGAGGACGCCTGTCGCGTGGCGATGGGGCGGCTGGCGGTCAAGATGAGCCGTGTGATGGAGAAAAGCGCTAAGAGAGTTTCAATTGACGGCGAACCAAGTAAAACGTCTCTGCCGCTCATGTCTTTCTTTCGCAGTGACAGTGAGTTGCGCCTATTCAACCCCTCCGTTGGGGGAGATGAGAGTCTCGGGAGGCGTCAGCCACGCAGCAGCTTCAGCCAGTCGTCATTGTCCGCGATGGAAGAACCAGTCGTCACCGTCCACGTTCGTCGGCGTGTGTAACTGCGGCCTGCCCCGCGTGTGTGTGGGGCCGCCGGCAGCGACGGTGCGGACGTCCCCCGCGCCTGTGGAATGAATTGTTTTGCGAGCGGGGGCCCGCCTTGCGCCGCGCCTGCGTTATGTATTCGTTTTTCTGCTGAGAAGCCTCTGGGAGGGGCAGGCGGCCAGCGGAGGCCGAAGAAGTGAGCAGACCGTTTGTTTTTTTGCAGATATTTTTATTTCCTGCGGGCGTTAGCTGCGCCGCCTTCTGCGAGGGGCCGCGTTGGGGAGCTGGCGGGCGCAGCTCTGCCCCCGCCGCTCCGCGAGCTCCCGATGAGCCTGGCCGCCACCGTACAGCGCCTGGTTTTATCAATTTTTTTTGTTTTTCTTTTAGTTTTTTTCCTTTTTTTTTCTTCCGTGTTGTGGGCAAATCCCCTTCGCATTGGGGCGGCGGGCACAACCTGCCGAAGTGTTTGTTTTCTCGTGTTTTTTGTTTCCCCTTTCCCCCGTGGGTGGTGCCTGGGGGCGCAGGAGGCCCCCCACCACGAGGGCGCCTTTTCCCTCTTGAGTGCTTGTTTTCTTTTT